CTACCACATTCTTGCCACACGTGCAGAATACTTGATTTCTCTCTATCGAAATTAGTCCATCAATACTAACGTATATTCTCTAGTCGACACATCGAACAGAACTGGCCATCGCTTGAGTTTGTCCAGCTAAAAAGCTGTTGCGTGGAAGATAAGTAGTGCATTTCTTCAAACGACGTTTCTCACCACGACGCATCTGTCGTCAACAGAAACGACATCAGCTCATTCGAGGTTTTTGTGATTTACATTAACACAAAATAGAGTATAACGAAACGGTGCCCTTTTACGTACACAATTATCATAAAGGGTTCAATTCCTAGCTTCAATGGCTTCATTACTGAGCTATTAATCACTAATCGCAAACCTGAAACGGCCGTGTCCAGAAGTACATACAATTTCTGTCCTTGTGAGCTGATGCAATAAATTAAGAAGATATTACTATGTAATCTCACATGAGGTTACAAAAGTAGATACAATTTACAAAAAAGGGCTTAAAGGCGCGGTCCGTGGTCTCCAACTCAAACGCGGGTATATACCCACGGGCTTCACCTACTTATTCGTCGATTCGGTGAAGAAAGCGCCTTTTCATATTTTCTGAAACCCAGGTGTCGCCCACAGTGGTGCAACTTACAGCAAAACCAAAAAATTTCTAACACATTCGGTATTGTTGTGACATGGCCCGATGGATCACCTTGGCAAGGTTGGCCTACTTAACAAATACAAATAATCGGGCACTTAACAGGTTGGTAAGAACTTCTTGATTCTTATCAACCTGTTTTAATCCGAAGTTCACCCAGTGGTCAGAATTTGTGCAAATGCATGTCCTTCCTGAATCGGTTGAAGTGTGGAAACTTTCATGTAATATTCTCGAGATATCCTCTTACGAACTATATTATCTGTGACGGTTGACCCATCCGCAAATGATTAGGACGAACTACCGTGCCGTTTCAACATGTAAATTTTCTCGTTTCGTGTTTTATTTTTTTACATTCAACAGATAGTTTATCTGAACCCCACAAGCAACAGTTGCATTTTAACCTCATTCCTTAACAACATGTTTATATCACAACGAGCTAACCCCAGATATTGTTAAACATGAATAATATGCAGCTTAACTCCTGTAGCCATTGTACCATATCAAATCTCAAGGTTCTTCGCTGGCTGCTTGGTGATTCGCAGCACGGGCAGAGGATGCTTGAGCAGTCGCCACACAAGACCGAACGAATCGAAAGATCATGCTATCTATTAGACTGGAATTTATTAGTTTGTACCGCAACAATCATT